TTTTGTTTTGCATAATACTTCCAGCTCATCTTGTCGTGGAAGATGTAGTCTTTGTAGTCTAAAAGACCCGTTTGTATTATTGTTGTTTAAGATTCGCTGCCCGGAACAAAGAGTTCCAGGCAGCACGGGCTATGGTGAGCCCGTAGACCCATTTGTAGTCTCTTGTGTTCGTTAGTTAGTCCACTGTGTGTTATATGTTGCAGAAGAGTGTTATACCTGGTGTGCAGTGATACGAGCGCCTCAGTGAAGGGGTGGTGGTGTTGTGGGGTCATTACATGAACATATACCATATGTCATCATATGACATATATGATGACATATATATGACATATGTATGACATATATATGACATATGTATGACATATATGATGACATATGACATATGTAGGTCATTATATGAGCATATATACTACGGGAGTATATATGTTCCTTCGTGCATTTTTCTATGGTTTCATCATGGGCCACTTTTACTTTTTCGGTCCCCCATCTACTTCCATGACCCCCCCCCCCTATTTGCCCCTCCTCTTTTACCCTGCACCTGCCACTCATTCTTACCTTGTACTTCCCTTACCCTCTTTCTTTCCACCTACCTCTCAGTCATATCCCTTCCCTTCATCCACTTGCCCACCCCCTACCTATACTACTACCTACTACTTTGCTCTACTATTACCCTACCCCATCACTCTACATCCCTACCCACCTCCCTCTACCCCTGATATCCCTCCCCTACCCACCTCCCACTACCCCTGATATCCCTCCCACCGCACCTCCCTCTACCCCTGATATCCCTCCCCTACCCAACCTCCCACTACCCCTGATATCCCTCCCCTACCCACTCCCACTACCCCTGATATCCCTCCCCTACCCACCTCCCACTACCCCCTGATACCCTCCCCTACCCACCTCCCTCTACCCCTGATATCCCTCCCCTACCCACCTCCCTCTACCCCTGATATCCCTCCCCTACCCACCTCCCACTACCCCTGATATCCCTCCCCTCCGCACCTCCCTCTACCCCTGATATCCCTCCCCTACCCACCTCCCACTACCCCTGATATCCCTCCCCTACCCACCTCCCACTACCCCTGATATCCCTCCCCTACCCACCTCCCTCTACCCCTGATATCCCTCCCCTCCGCACATCCCTCTACCCCTGATATCCCTCCCCTACTCACCTCCCACTACCCCTGATATCCCTCCCCTACCCACCTCCCCTACCCCTGATATCCCTCCCCACCGCACCTCCCTCTACCCCTGATATCCCTCCCCTACCCCTCCCTCTACCCCTGATATCCCTCCCCTACCCACCTCCCACTACCCCTGATATCCCTCCCCTACCCACCTCCCACTACCCCTGATATCCCTCCCCTACCCACCTCCCACTACCCCTGATATCCCTCCCCACCGCACCTCTCCTCCACAGGTAGTCAACATTATGTACTTTCGAGTCTGTGTCACAAGACGATTCTTGGAATTTTCCCTTTGTTGGATAGGAGCCAGATTTCCCAGAAACGCTGAATGGGCCTTCCAGGAATCCAATAATAGGGAATCTCCAAGCAAAAAGGAACAAAATGTTAGATTAAACATCTCACGGGAAATATTTTCTTTTAGGGGGGCGAGGGGGAAGGAAGAGAGAATGTTTTCACCTATTTGAGCCAGCAGGATCAAGATGTTGTAGGTCTTGGGTCCCCGCCTTAATAATCGCCGGTTGTCTAATATACAAACTCTCAATCTATTTTCTCTTTCACATTAAATTTATATTACTATATTACACACACTTATATTACATTATATTATTTATATTACACACACACACACACACACACACACACGCGCGCGCACACACACATATTATATATATATATCAAGTGCTCCTGCAGCCTCACGTTGCATAAATTGTCAACCTCATTTGGAAAGGAAAACTTGGAAAAGAAAGCCTAGAGAAGAAAAAATGTCTTGTTTATTTGCTGATAATGAAAGAGTAGCATCTCAGACCCCCGTGGTGTATAATTGTTGTACTGTGTTGTTATAAACAAAAATAAGACATTAAGATCAAGGAGGACGAACATACACTTGAAAGGTGTAATTATAGCTTACTGCATGAACAGAGGATCTATCAAAATGGGAAGACATGCTTACAAATAACAGTAAACTGTTCAGTCCTCCTTGAAACAATGTAATGGATAGACTTACAAATCTTACACAAATAGGCTAAAGTATAACGATTTAATAACGATGTGGGTGATTAAAGTTGAAGTAATTAACAATTACCAAGAGAAGTTTTCAATTTGAATCGCAGGCAGAGTCAAACGAGTTAAGCACCTAGGGCAAATTACAGACCACGGCAGACTTGGAAAATACAATAAAGATATATTGAGCCCATTAAAGAATATGTTTACAAAAACCCGGGCATAAAAATAGAGAAAGCACTAACGATTTAAAGTAAATAGACAAGTTAAGAAACCCCCTGTCAGAAGATTTAGGTCTAAGGGAGACAGATAGCTTGCAGGGGCATATTTAGACAAACAGACGAATTAAATAAGAGAAATGAATCTCCACCAACAGCAACAGTAGCAACAGCAGCGATGCAGCTCCACCAACAACATCAACAGCAGCGATGCAGCTCCGCCAACAACATCAACAGTAGCGATGCAGCTCCACCAACAACATCAACAGCAGCGATGCAGCTCCACCAACAACATCAACAGCAGAGATGCAGCTCCGCCAACAACATCAACAGTAGCGATGCAGCTCCGCCAACAACATCAACAGCAGCGATGCAGCTCCACCAACAACATCAACAGCAGAGATGCAGCTCCACCAACAACATCAACAGCAGAGATGCAGCTCCGCCAACAACATCAACAGTAGCGATGCAGCTCCGCCAACAACATCAACAGCAGCGATGCAGCTCCGCCAACAACATCAACAGTAGCGATGCAGCTCCACCAACAACATCAACAGTAGCGATGCAGCTCCACCAACAACATCAACAGCAGCGATGCAGCTCCACCAACAACATCAACAGCAGCGATGCATCTCCACCAACAACATCAACAGTAGCGATGCAGCTCCACCAACAACATCAACAGGCATCTCGACACTGAAACATCAATCCACCAAGATATCAACCATCATCCAGCTTCCATGACAGCTCCAAACCCCCCCCCCCCTTCCCCACCCCCCTCCCCACCCTCCTTTCCTTGACAGCGATGCAGGTTTGCAGCAGCAACTGCCCCTTTCCCCCCTTCCCCTTTACCAGCACTCCCACACCGGCTATAGAAGGAGGATCAAGCACACTAGATAGCGGCCTGGTTATCTAGGCTGGGAATCCAGTTAAAAGCACAGCTCTGAAAATAACTTTCTTGGGGTTATCGCCTGGTGGCATCTCCAGCTATAGCCAGATGCTAACGTTTCTTGGTCATGTTTTCGCTGATGCTTGTAACTTGTAAAATTAACTCTGTAAAATTTAACTTTTTCGTCGTATTAAATAGAATTAAGGACACAAAATTCTATCCACGATGACACATGCTTAAAGTTTTATTTTTTCATATATTTAATTCTAATATTAGCCCATGTAAACTCGTATGGAGTTTAACAGTATACCTCAACAAGTTTTACAATGATTATGCGCAATCTGTTTTCTCTAACGCAATCTTCGTAAATGATTTAGGTCAACATTAACTAACCATTAACCCAACAGTTAAAGTGAAATAAATTGATAAATGAAATATATGTGATTTTAAGTCGAGTGCGTTATAAAAAAACACGTTAATAGATGTTTTTTATTTAAGATGTTCCAGGCTGATATATGTGGTAGTGTCGGCCTTAGCATATTGGTGATGGTTATCTGGGTGAGTGAGGCCGCTGATGGCCATCTCTTGCGGTCAGCTCAATTGCCTTAAACCAGATTTGATTATGGGTTTTATAATCATCACCATCTCTCTCTCTCTCTCTCTCTCTCTCTCTCTCTCTCTCTCTCTCTCCTCACTGCTCTCCTCCCCAGTCTCGTTTCTCCAATTTTCTCCTCAGTTTTTTGAGCTTTCAGTGCTTCTCTTCTGCACTATCCAATTTTATTTCTTCCTACTGATATCTCTCTCTCTCTCTCTTTTCTTGGTTTGTCTTCTTCGCCTCTTCTCGTTCTCTTACTTCCCTATTTCAAAATATGCTCTGCATAAACAATGCATACAAAAAACTATTTCAGATCGTTTACACGTCCAATGTTTGCTCAAATCCAATATGTTAGTTTAGATCCCATGCTAGCTCTAATCCCATATTGGCTCAGGTTCTATGCTGGCCCAAATCCTATGTGGCCTCAGATCACATGTTGGTTCAAACCCTACGTTGGCTCAGATCCTATGCTGGCTCAAATCCTATGTTGAATCAAATCCTCTGTGGGTTCAGATCCTTCCAACGGCTCCATTGCTGTTCGTTATTCTCAGTGGGCTCTTACGTCTACATCTCTTCCCGTCCATTAATACCTTGTGGCTGGTAGCCTTGTTCGAAGACGTCTTTGGCTTGCTTGACTTGGTCGAAGACGAGGGGAAGGAGGAAGCTGGTTGGCCAGGTCGAAGACATGGAGCTGGTTGACTTTGTCGAAAACACAGCTGATGGACTTGGTCGAAGACACGGGGCTGGTAGACTTGGTCGAAGACGAGGGAGCTGCTTGGCCAGGTGGGAGAATTGAAGCTGGTTGACTTGGTCGAAGAAACTGAGCTGGTTGGCTGGCAGTAGTTTCCGTCTAAATATCCCCTTTCCCTTCCCCCTCGCCCATCAGACATACAACGAAACCAGCAACCAGAAGATGATTAATGAGAATGTTGCAGGATGAATGTTGTATACCATATATACAAGTATAGCTTATCTCCCGCTTTTCCCAACCACTTGGGGTGGACAGTAGAGCGACGGTCTTACTTCTGGCAGGTAGGCGTTCAATTCCCGATCATCCAAGTGGTTGGGCACCATTCATTCCCCCCCCCCTCCGTCCCATCCCAAATTCTTATCCTGACCCCTTCCAAGTGCTATATAGTCGTAGTGACTGGGCGCTTTCTCCTGATAGATCCCTATCCTGGTTTTGTCTGACAGGAAACACGAGAAATTGTTGCTCCCGCGCGCGCGCTCACACACACACACACTGAAGGGTTGTACAAGGGTACACACAGCCACGAGACATCGCTGGAGCAGGCTATATATAAGAGTCATGGTGTTGTGCAGGACCAGACGGTTCCGCCTGTCAGCTATAGATGTAAACTGTTTCAAGAATATTTACTACAGATACTGATGTGCAAATCCAGCAGACAGTACCAAGTGCAGACGGTACCCAGTAGACGACAACAAGTAGACGGCAAGAAGTAGACGACAACAAGTAGATGACACCGGGCCGCTAGTGTTGATATCGTGAGGTCATTTTATCGGACCAACTCTTCAGCTTGTATGAGCCCTCTTGTAGAGTCTTACAAGCCTCATCTGTCTCAACTCTTCTCATTAATTTTGCATCGTCTCCAAGCATCGACATGTGTAGGACTCAACCCTCGCATATATTGATCATTAACATAGATGAGAAATAGCACGAGTACCGGAACCGGTCCATGAGGAACTCCGCTTATTATTTTACGTAAGTTCAACTCCTGGCCTCTCACTGTGAGTCTCTGACACGCATATGTTAGGTATTCCCTTGGCCATGTCAAGTGGTCTTCCTCTTACAACCGCTTCCCATCACAGTCAGACTGATCCGGTTACCTCCAGGTTTACCGTTGAACCCTTATACTGTTCTTTCCTGCGATATCTCTTACAATTATTAGCAGAAAGTTAAAAGAGTCGAGGTCCTCTGATTGCTCTACAAATGCATATGCAACCTCGACTTTACATTCAATTTATTTACACACTTTCTCTCAGTATCTGGTGTCGTTTCATTCCATAGATTTAAAACTTGAGCTTGCAGTATTCGCCATAAATATAACCCATCATAATGAGACAGACATTGCAGCCAAATTAGCGTGTAACAAGTTTGAAGTTGAATTAGATCTAGGTATCCCTATCTCTGCTGTCAAAACTGTATTGGTCCAAACATTCAGATCTGATAGGAAAGAACTTACTGACTCCCAACGACCTGAAAGTACTAGTATAAAAAGCTATGATTTGTTCAGATCTGAAACCTACATCTATGGACAGCACAAAACGTCCACTAGACTGTGCGACACAGTGGTTGCAAGGATCAGGTTGGGTTACCGTTACCTGTGGCAGGTGGCTGCAGGTGACGGGTCTCCCAATCCTGAGCACTCCAGTTGCAAACTCTGTGAGCAGGAACTACGGCATGATCTCCCGCACTACATCACTGAATGCCCAATTATTAGACCTTTCAGACCAGTTGGCATGAGGTACCTGGAGCTTTGCAATTACTTTATTCACTCTCGTATTCTTGAAGATATCCTCACAGTATACCCAAAATTTGCCAGTGCAGGCTATTAAACACATGACTCTGTATGACTAACCATCCTGCGAGATGGGGACTTGTATTACCACTGCTACCTTATTCAATCTTGTGTTGTTGATATCCTCAAAATGCATCCGGAGTCTGCCAGTGCAGACCGCTAATCACATGCCTCTGTATGACTAACCATCCTGTGTGATGGGGATTTTATAGCATCACCTAGTTAGCTTTTTTGACACACTGTACTCCACTTCATATAGTCTAGGGTAGCTGCACTAATGCAGATGTACCTAATATGTTAATAAAAAAAAAAAAAAATTCGCCATGTTTACATTGGGACACAACACAGTCGACTCCGTTGCCAGAAGTTATCGGTTCTAAAACTTCCAGCGGCTAAGATATCACTTTCATAATGACACTGTAGCAGTGAGAGATGCGACTCAATTCCTGCTTCTTAAGGATTTTCTAACTCCAGCGCGCTACTAATTCATATTAAATTAGCTGACGAATAAGAGTCTTTTTGGTTTAATAGATTGGAAAGTCCTGGGCATGGGGTGGGCCGGTCTTAGAGCGAGACGTGAACCTAGCGATGGGTAACATAAGAAAGGATTTTGATGTAGATTCAAAATAAAACTTATTTGAAACTATTCTAAGCAAAGCATAGGAACATAGAATACCATACAAATTGAATAGATCGAATAATAATGACCCAAAATGGATAACAAATGATTTGAAGAACCTTATAGGTAGAAAGAGAGCTTGGTACAAAAAAGATTAAGAATGGGGAAGTCAGTTTAGAACTAGAAATCGTCCAACTGGTTAGAAATCTTTTAAAAAAAGGAGAGATAAGGAGGGCAAAAAGAAACTTATGAAGTTCGTATAGCAGGGCAAGTAAAGACAAATCCTAAAGGTTTTTCAGTTATATTGAACAAAGATTAGGGAAAGGATAGGTCCATTAAAAACTAAGACAGGTTAGATAACATAAATGATAATGCGGAAGAGATGAGTAATGTTTTAAATACATATTTTATCTTTGCATTTACTGAAGAGCAACGTAACATGTCTTCAGCCAACAAGTCTATATTGGTGGGGAAGAGGACAGGTTGACCAGTTACCAGGGAGGATGTTATTAAACAAATGGTGAAACTCTAGCCAAACAAATCCCCAGGGCCTGACAAGTGTTTGCCAGATTAATAAATGATTAACAATCATTAGAGTCAGGCAGAGTGCCAGAGTGGAAGGTTGCTAATGTGGTACCAATTTTCAACTTGCGTCAAACTATTGGCCAATTAGCTTAACGTCTATTGTAAAAAGTTGCTTGAATCGATAATTGCAAATACCATTCGTCTTCATCTTGAAAAACATAGATTAATAAATGATTCACAACATGGTTTTACTAATGGCCGTTCATGTTTGCTATAAAAATTTGCTATCTTTTATTCCAGCATAGTTGAGGCAGTTGATAGTGGTAAGGTTTGTGATGTTGTGTACCTTGACTTTAGCAAAGCTTTTGATACAGTGCCACATGAAAGATTGATTAAAAAGATAGAGGCTCATGGTATTGGGGGTGCTATATTAAGTTGGATTAGGGCATGGCTATACCAAAGGAAACAGAGTTAGTATAAATGGGGTTAAGTCAGAGTGGGAAAATGTTGTAAGTGGAGTGCCTCAAGGCTCTGTCCTGGGACCTCTGTTATTCATAATATATATAAATGATTTAGATTCAGGTTTGAGCAGCAATATTTGCAAATTTGCCGATGATACAAAAATCGGGAGGGAAATAAACACGGAAAAAGACTCGCTATCACTTCAAGACGATCTAAATAGGGTTTTGAAATGGTCAAAAGATTGGCAGATGCAGTTTAATGCTGACAAATGTAAGGTTTTGAGGCTAGGTAATGATGATATAGTTACAAGATACGAGCTAGATGGTGTTGAGATTGCGAAGTCGGATTGCGAAAGGGATCTGGGAGTTATGATTAGTAAGAATTTAAAACCAAAAAATCAATGCATAAATGTTCGTAATAAGGCAAATAGGACACTGGGATTTATTTCTCGAAGCGTTAGTAATAAGACACCTGGTGTTATTCTTCAGCTATATCTTGCTCTTGTTAGGCCCCATTTAGATTATGCAGTTCAGTTTTGGTCGCCATACTATAGAATGGATATAAATTCACTAGAAAGCGTCCAGCGTAGGATGACAAAGTTAATCCCGCAAATTAGAAACCTGTCATATGAAGAAAGATTGACAAAGCTTAAATTACATTCTCTAGAAAGGCGAAGAATTAGGGGTGACATGATAGAGGTGTACAAGTGGATGAATGGACATAACAAAGGGGATATTAATAGGGTATTAAAAGTATCAACACAAGACAGAACACGAAACAATGGGTATAAATTGGATAAGTTTAGATTTAGGAAAGACCTGGGTAAATACTGGTTCGGTAACAGGGTTGTTGATTTGTGGAACCAATTACCGCGTAACATAATAGAAGTAGGATCCCTTGATTGTTTCAAGCGTAGGTTATGTATATGAATGAGATTGGGTGGATATAAATAGGAGCTGCCTCGTATGGGCCAATAGGCCTTCTGCAGTTACCTTCATTCTTATGTTCTTATAACCTTGCTTCCTAGTAACCACAACCTTATTTAAACGTTTTGACAACGTAATAACCTTGCTTCCTAGTAACCACAACCTTATTTATAAGTTTTGACAACGTAAAAACGTTGCTTCCTCATGACCAAAAACGTTATTATAACGTTTTGACAAGGCAATAACGTTACTGCAACTTTGCGGTAACGTTGTGTATTTACCGAGGATTGGCTGCAAATTGCACGCAGATAATAATCGCTTATAGCATGTGAGCGCCTCCATAACCATTTATCAAGTGCCAGTCGCAGCCACTTTCCTTGTAGCTCCTGGCCAGTGCCTCATGCAGCCTCCTTGATTATCTGCTACTGGTGGGAGAGGCTGGTGGTCTAGTCTGTTTGTTTACTGTAGGTGGGAGAGGCTGGTGGTCTAGTCTGTTTGTTTACTGTAGGTGGGAGAGGCTGGTGGTCTAGTCTGTTTGTTTACTGTAGGTGGGAGAGGCTGGTGGTCTAGTCCGTTTGTTTACTGTAGGTGGGAGAGGCTGGTGGTCTAGTCCGTTTGTTTACTACTGGTGGGAGAGGCTGGTGGTCTAGTCTGATTGTTTACTACTGGTGGGAGAGGCTGGTGGTCTAGTCTGATTGTTTACTACTGGTGGGAGAGGCTGGTGGTCTAGTCTGATTGTTTACTACTGGTGAGAGAGGCTGGTGGTCTAGTCTGATTGTTTACTACTGGTGGGAGAGGCTGGTGGTCTAGTCTGATTGTTTACTACTGGTGGGAGAGGCTGGTGGTCTAGTCTGTTTGTTTACTACTGGTGGGAGAGGCTGGTGGTCTAGTCTGATTGTTTACTACTGGTGGGAGAGGCTGGTGGTCTAGTCTGTTTGTTTACTGTAGGTAGGAGAGGCTATCTACACAACATTGTTAGACAAACACTGGAATAAGGGCTTCATGGATATGCAATCCGCACATTGTGAAGCATTAAAATCAAATTGAAAAAGTACAAAGATTTGCAACATGATTGGAGCTGGAGCTAAGAGGGCTAAGCTGCGAGAAATAACCTGTGGAACTAAATCTTACAACCCTAGCAGACAGAGGAAAGAGAGGAAATATGATCACAACATACAAGATAGTGAGGGGAATAGATAAAGTGCACATGAGAACAGCCTCTTCAAATTGAGAGAAAGTAAGACAAGAGGGCACATTAGGAAGCTAGAAAAGCAAATGGAGCCAAAGGAATGTAAGGAAATACTCATACCCCGTACGAGTGGTCAAGAAGTAGAATGCGCTGACAGAAGAAGTTGTGGAAGCCACCTCCATCCACCACTTTAAGGCCAGATTCGAAAATGCATTTGAACGTCCAAACAGTTTAATTATAACGCAACGGGTACAAGAGGGGGCTAATAGGCGGGGCATGTAGAGATAGACCTCACTCCCCCCTGAAGACATTGTTAGGTAGGCACATAAGCCCTTAGGCATCCAAATGGCCGGCAGCTAATTTACACACTGATGAATAATTTACACTGATGAATAATTTACACACTGATGAATAATTTACACACTGATGAATAATTTACACTCTGATGAATAATTTACACCGATTTACACGAATAATTTACACTGATTTACAATTTACACAATTTACACTGTAAATTATTCATAATGAATGATGAATAATTTACACCCTGATGAATAATTTACACCCTGATGAATAATTTACACCCTGACGAATAATTTACACCCTGACGAATAATTTACACTCTGATGAATAATTTACACCCTGACGAATAATTTACACCCTGACGAATAATTTACACTCTGATGAATAATTTACACCCTGATGAATAATTTACACTGATGAATAATTTACACTGATGAATAATTTACCTTCACGTAAGACACTTTGGACGTTTGTCTGTCTGTATTTACTATTTGTACTTATTGTTCGTGTTTGTCTATTTATTCTGTTTATTTACTGTTGGGTGAACAGACACTCTGCCCATAATGTTCTTCCTCGGCCGGGAATCGAACCCTGGCCCTGAGAACGACGACTCCGAGCGCTATCCGCTCGGCCCATTGTGTATGTGTTCTCAATTTAATTTTCGAGCGTTGATCTCTCTCTTTTCTCGCCTTTCAATCACCACCCAACTGGTGTTCTAGCTGCCGAGCCTATTGGGCTCTGTCATATCTACATTCACAGCCGTGTACTGGTGTGTTCTTAAACCTTTACCTGATTTACCTGAGGGCCACTGTCTTTAGTGGCCTCGACGAGGACAGGAAGCCGGTGGCTTATCGGTGATCCTCCCCCCCCCTCCCCCTCCCCGAACCCTCCTCACCCTTTTGCCTTGAAAATTAACCATTGACAAATTGATAAAAAGCAGTATGACAATACACACACACGGAAGACATCTCCCGTCACGCAGGGTGCAGTCGCACCTCCACAGATCTCCAGTATCAGCTATTGATACCGGCAATGGCTAAAAAAGGCCACCACTTACGGGCTATTCATGCCCGTGCCACCGTTTGGATAGCTTAATTTTCATCAATCAATCAAATACACACAGAAATCACCGTAGCGTGATGCATCAATGAACAAATCGTCTGGGATGATCTCGGACGCAGGTTCGAATCCTTCGCACGGCCCTTGTGGATTTGTTCAATTGACAAATTGTCTATTTATATATCAAGCCATCACACATCACTACTAAAACACTGGAGGTGCTGTCAAGCAGCGAAACGACGCAGCGAGCACTCTTCAGCACGCTGGCAACTGTTGTTGTTATAGATTCAGCTACTCGGAATAAGTTCCAAGTAGCACGGGCTATGGTGAGCCCGTAACTTACCTGGCACAGGAGCGGGGCAAGTAGCACGGGCTATGGTGAGCCCGTAGTGGACTTACCTGGCACAGGAGTGGTGCAGTCCTTCGCTGGCAGCTATAATATTGCCTATTTAACTACCCAACAAACTACAGCATCCCTCTCGTTGTTACGGGCTCACCATAGCCCGTGCTACTTGGAACTTGTTCCGAGTAGCTGAATCTATAACATCATCATCTCTCGTTACCTAGAGCACGACACAATTACCCTGCTAATTAATTGCTAATTAATTGCAGATACAGGCCAGCGCGCCGTCTAAGATTACAGGGCGCGTTTCTGTGTAAACAAAAAAAACACATTCGATCCGGTTACTGACTGTACGATTGTCTACGGTTGTCTGCGTAGGGTGATGAGAGGTGGAGTTCCGAGCAGTGAAAACAGCGACGGGTTGATCCAGGCTTGAAACAAAGACAACAAGAGCATTCAAGAACGAGAGAGAGAGGGGGGACGGGAGAACTAATTAACGGTCTTTAACTGTGCCACGAGTAATGTTAGCGTGTGTACAGTTGTATGAGTACTCACCTGTATTGTACTTACTAAGAAGTGCTTGTAGAGTCGGGCGTTGTAGTTCCTCAACGCCGACTTTTGCAGCTGTTGGGTGTCAATAAGTTTTGTTTTTCTCCTCCTTGTTGCTTGAGGAGTTTTGTTTTTCTCCTCCTTGTTGCCTGAGGAGTTTTGTTTTTCTCCTCCTTGTTGCTTGAGGAGTTTTGTTTTTCTCCTCCTTGTTGCTAGAGGAGTTTTGTTTTTCTCCTCCTTGTTGCTTGAGGAGTTTTGTTTTTCTCCTCCTTGTTGCTTGAGGAGTTTTGTTTTTCCCCTCCTTGTTGCTTGAGGAGTTTTGTTTTTTTCCTCCTTGTTGCCTGAGGAGTTTTGTTTTTCTCCTCCTTGTTGCTTGAGGAGTTTTGTTTTTCTCCTCCTTGTTGCTTGAGGAGTTTTGTTTTTCTCCTCCTTGTTGCTTGAGGAGTTTTGTTTTTCTCCTCCTTGTTGCCTGAGGAGTTTTGTTTTTCTCCTCCTTGTTGCTTGAGGAGTTTTGTTTTTCTCCCCCTTGTTGCTTGAGGAGTTTTGTTTTTCTCCTCCTTGTTGCCTGAGGAGTTTTGTTTTTCTCCTCCTTGTTGCTTGAGGAGTTTTGTTTTTCCCCTCCTTGTTGCTTGAGGAGTTTTGTTTTTCCCCTCCTTGTTGCTTGAGGAGTTTTGTTTTTCCCCTCCTTGTTGCTTGAGGAGTTTTGTTTTTCTCCTTGTTGCTTGAGGAGTTTTGTTTTTCTCCTCCTTGTTGCTTGAGGAGTTTTGTTTTTCTCCTCCTTGTTGCTTGAGGAGTTTTGTTTTTCTCCTCCTTGTTGCTTGAGGAGTTTTGTTTTTCTCCTCCTTGTTGCTTGAGGAGTTTTGTTTTTGTTTCTCGTCAAATCTAGTTCTGAAACTAGTTATTGGTTCTTTTACCTGGTTCTAACCTGCCTTACACGCTATGCCTGCTCCCTGGTTCTACTCCAACTTGATACGGAGATGTCTTTTTCGTCCACCTTATCAATCCTTCTTAGAATCATGTATGTCGTTGTCATGTCTCCTTTGCTGCTGCCTCTCTTTTCATACTTTTTCTAGCCTACGTATCTTCGTACGTTTCTAGTGTGGTTTGTGTTTCTTAAGAGAGATGTTCCACACTGTGTTTACTCCAGAATGGCCTGAATTCAAGTAGTTTTTTTTTCGTGAAATTCGTATTTTTTTTTTTTTTGCCAGATTCGTTGATGTTGATGGAATTCTATTTAAGTGAAACTCCAGTGCCAGGCTTAAGGGTTATATGAATTAACACGTTTGCTTCGATTTCGCCGATTCAGAGAGCCGTTGTCTTGGTCAATGATAGACCAATACTATCTATCGTACTAATCAATGATAGATCATATGCTCACTAAATTCTCACTAATTTGACTTTGTATTTCAAGTCGTGTATTCATTTCTTCCTTCATCCTTTAAATTGATCCAGATCGTCTTGCTTATGTTGACTAACATTGAGTCTCGCTCCACTCTTTGTAATTTTTTGCATCCTTTACAAATATTTATATAAATATATCAACTTCCTCACATTAAAGTCATTTACGTATACCTTGAAAGGTATATATAGGGTCTTGGTACTGACCCTTATGGTTCTCCACTTGCAGCCTGCTTCTGACTTCTCGCCCCCTTCACTGTAACCATCGGTTTCCTGCCAGGTAGTTACTCTTATCATGTATTTGTCTTAATGCAGTGCACACCTCACTGCCTTAGGTATTGAGGGGTTCTTCAGTCAGAATCAGAGTTCACGTCAAACTCTCATCCGGTCGTGCAATAACTGACCCCCCACATCTCCCCTCCCCACCCCTCCTCTCCCCACACTTCCCCCACTCCCTTGTACTCCACACCTCTCGAGCACCCTCCTCCTCACCCCCTCTCCTCCCCACCACTTTTGCTACCACTTAAGATAGCGGTGGCTGAGTAAAGTAGAGCAAACCTCTGATTCAACAAGTAATGTAAAGAAACAAAGTAGAAAAAAAACACGAAAAAGTACAGAAATCTGGGAACAAAGCAGAATAGAGAGCCGGTAATAGAGCCAGAAATGTACACACTCTGATAGACCTCTGAGGGCCTCGTAGCCTGGTGGATAGCGCGCAGGACTCGTAATTCTGTGGCGCGGGTTCGATTCCCGCACGAGGCAGAAACAAATGGGCAAAGTTTCTTTCACCCTGAATGCCCCTGTTACCTAGCAGTAAATAGGTACCTGGGAGTTAGTCAGCTGTCACGGGCTGCTTCCTGGGGGTGGAAGCCTGGTCGAGGACCGGGCCGCGGGGACACTAAAGCCCCGAAATCATCTCATGATAACCTCAAGATAACTCAAGTGAGGAGGGAAGCCGAGGTGCCGTTTGAAAAAGACATTGTAGCGAAAGCCAAGAGCCAACCAAAATTGTTCTATAGACATACAATGGGAAGAAAAAACAACAATGAAACAAACTATGTAATCAGGATAACGAGACAAGTAGGAATTCTGAAGGAGAACGACAAGGAGATGTGTGTGAGGAACTCCACCAAAGATTTGGTCTTTACATAGAAACCAACATGCAGAGCAGCACTGAAAGATGAATAGCTAGAGGAATCACTGGATGGCATCTAGCAGTCACTACTAAAGAGTATTAAAACACACTTTGAGAAACTACATGCAACAAATCAATAGTCCCAGGTGTAATATCCCAATGGATGCTGAAGGAGGCTGCAGAGATACTTAGACCATTAGCTAACTGGAGGTTTTACTCAAACAAATCAGGAAATCTCACAAAAGGGATAGACAGGAGGGACTAGATGACAGACCAATGACACTAACAAGTATCTCACATAAGTTGCTAGAAAAAGGAGGCCTATGAAAGGGTCACTAACTTTAAGATCAGATACGACAAAGAATTCGAACGTCAGAATAGTTAAATTATAACGCAACAAGTATAACAGGGAGGGGGGGTGGGGGGTAGAAGGTGGGGGACCAAGACCTAGAACTCACAACTTCATAGTCAATTATCTTGAGGTTATCTCGAGATGATTTCGGGGCTTTAGTGTCCCCGCGGCCCGGTCCTCGACCAGGCCTCCACCCACAGGAAGCAGCCCGTGACAGCTGACTAACACCCAAGTACCTATTTACTGCTAGGTAACAGGGGCATAGGGTGAAAGAAACTCTGCCCATTGTTTCTCGCCGGCGCCCAGGATCGAACCCGGGACCACAGGATCACGCGTCTAGTGTTCTGTCCGCTCAGCCACCACTGAGAGATTAGTACTGGAGCGTCAGCACTACAGCACCATACAACTCCAAAACATCACACACCCTTCATTTGCCCACTGCAAGCCTTCCCACCCCACAACCACATCTTCCCCACCCCATACCTCCCCACTCCCCCACAACTCCCCACGACTCCACCAACCACCTCCCCACTACACACTGCCTACTCTACCATGCAAGTTTACCTGTAGGGTCAGGAAGACTAACAAACATTACATTCAGCAGTAAACAAGGAGCTGGTTGCCCCGCCCGTTCCCACGGTGCCCCTAACCATCAGCCCAACACCTGTAATTATAGGCCTTCAGGGCCGCCTCGTTAACTGGGCCGTTACAACTACCAACAGTAGGCCTACAACAATCGCAGCTACTATCGGTGGGGGTCCCCAACCATCAAAACCACCACGTCAGAAGGCCCACAGCTACCACAATAACAGGCCCACCACCAACAACCACCACACCAACAGGTCTACAACAACCACCACAACAGTAGACCCACAACCACCACCACCACCAATAACAACATCACAACGGTCCTCAACACTTTATGTTAAAAGGAACATACTTCGAACACTGTGTATATACATAAGATATATGTAAAATATATGCTTTTAGATATGTACGTTAGATTAGCATTTTAAAGGTGCTACAATTACCTTCTGTGGTTGATTGTTTACACTGAGCTCTAATCCTGTCCACGGAGGACAGAATAATATGAATAGATGCTGGTTACCATTGTAAATGTCTGGCCACGTCCGTGGTAGAGAAAAATTTACAAAAAAATAAGATAAAATAGACTACAACAACAGCCCCGCCAAAAAAATACAATACCCTATTAGCTACACTACCTTCAATAATAAAAGCACCACAGACAACAAAGGTATCAAGATACATCGCTTTTAACAGAAGAATGGCCAACGGTATCAGTACCACTACCACTACCACCATCATCACCACCACTGCCCCCGCTAACACCACTAACAACATTACCACCACCACCACTACCAACATAACTACCTCCACCACCACTACCAACATAACTACCTCCACCACCACTACCAACATAACTACCTCCACCACCACTACCAACATAACTACCTCCACCACCACTACCAGCATAACTACCTCCACCACCACTACCAACATAACTACCTCCACCACCACTACCAGCATAACTACCTCCACCACCACTACCAACATAACTACCTCCACCACCACTACCAGCATAACTACCTCCACCACCACTACGAGCATAACTACCTCCACCACCACTACCAACATAACTACCTCCACCACCACTACCAACATAACTACCTCCACCACCACTACCAACATAACTACCTCCACCACCACTACCAACATAACTACCTCCACCACCCCCCCTGCCATACATTCATCAACACCCTATTCAATTTCCCTATTCCCCCCCCCCCCATCTCCCTCTTTCCCTTCCTCTTCCCATGTCCAATCTCCATCTTTCCCTCCCCCCTCTCTCCTCCCTTCCCTCCCCTCTCCCTCTACATCCACCATGCACTCACAACCACCAAACACGCGCGTGCACTCACCTACTCTCTCCTAAACACGCGCACATGTCCCATCCCCCTCCCCTTTCCCCTACGTCCATTACTACGCACGTGGCCCTCCTCTGGTTCCCATTCTCCTTACCCCATTCCATCTATAAAGAAGCGACCGTATTTTCTTCTATCTCCCATTACACCAAGAGAAATTCCCCCCCCCCCATGTTCTGCTCTTCTCTCTATACAACTCTATCTCTTAGGCTCATCTCAAATCTCCCCATTATCTCAGCTCTTCTCACCCCATAATGCTTCCTCTCAGTCCCTCCCCCCATCACAATAATACCTCCCATTAGTCCCTCCAACACCCCCCATACAATACCTCCCCTCACTTCCTACCCAAACATAATACCTCCCTTGAGAGAAGATGTAAGAGGTTATATCACGTTCCCACGGTCACGCGTCCATCGCCACGCGTTCGTTCATTCGTAATATTCTTTTTTTCTAATTCAGGGCAGCGGTTGTAGCTTCACAGTGACGCTTGACGCCAGCAAGGCGTATGTGCTCGTTAAACGCGGCGTGGTGTTAAGAGATCAACGGGTATTTACAATGATTCAGTGGGAAGGAATAATTCATGATATGTGAATTGGTGCTGAGAGAGGTTGGTGCTGGGGTTGTTTCTGTTTAGTTTGCTTCATTGGGTGGGATAATTGTTATTATGTTCCTCTTTTGTTTCGTGAGTGGTGTGCACACATATACACACGCGCGCGCGCACGTGAGTGTGTGTGTACACTGCATATAATGGCATATATATATATATATATATATATATATATATATATATATATATATATATATATATGCGAACAAGCCTGAATGGTCCCCAGGACTATATGCGAATGAAAACAAGCGGATTAAGGCGCCCTGTAGTTACCAGTTGCGTTGCTTCTGGGAGTATGGGTTCGAGTCACTTCTGGGGTGTGAGTTTTCATTCATATATATATATATATATATATATATATATATATATATATATATATATATATATATATATATGTCGTACCTAGTAGCCAGAACGCACTTCTCAGCCTACTATACAAGGCCCGATTTGCCTAATAAGCCAAGTTTTCATGAATTATTTGTTTTTCGACTACCTAACCTACCTAACCTTACCTAACCTAACTTTTTCGGCTACCTAACTTAACCTAACCTATAAAGATAGGTTAGGTTAGGTTAGGTTAGGTAGGGTTGGTTAGGTTCCGTCATATATCTACGTTAATTTTAACTCCAATAAAAAAAAATTGACCTCATAGAATGAAATGGGTAGCTTTATCATTTCATAAGAAAAAAATTAGAGAAAATATATTACTTCAAGAAAACTTGGCTTATTAGGCAAATCGGGCCATGCATAGTAGGCTGAGAAGTGCGTTCTGGCTACTAGGTACGACATATATATATATATATATATATATATATATATATATATATATATATATATATATATATATATATATATATATATATAAAGGCTAACATCCAGAAGAATTATAACGCAGGCACAATACAACAATCCCAGTCGCCACACTACCCAATAGCAACACCAATTCAACGTCGAATCAACGTCACTTTTGGAAACTGGGCCCCACCGTTGAGGGTGGTAATGACGAGAGAAAACGACAACGCCTGACGCGAAAAAAGACATGATTAGGGGCGCTTGCAAGTCTTCCCCCTCTTAACCACCCCCTTTCTCCTCCCAGTTCTAAAACGCCGTTTCATCCCTCTTCCCCAAAAACCCCCTCTCCCCCTCTCTGGCTCTTCTCCCTTGCACTCCAACTGGTGCGTTCGATTCGCTGGTTGGTGGGCTGATCCTGATCTGACGGGTGGGCTGATCCTGAAGGATGGAAGGGGAGGAAGAAGGGGCAGCGGAGGTGGAAAGGAGAGGGGAGAGGTGGATGTGGGAAGGGGGAGGTGGAGGGGAAGAGGCCTCAGCATCAGGAGGCTTGGCTGACGCTGCTAAAAGGCTGTAGGTGACAGCGTCTAGGCGCGGCATGACAGCTTGTGTAATAATTACAGGATTCCCCTCCGCCCGCCCGCTGTGTGTGTGTGTGTGTGTGTGTGTGTGTGTGTGTGTGTGTGTGTGTGAAACAATAGACCACAGCAGGTTAGATGAGACGCCACAAGCCAGATGGTCGAAGGGAATGGGGAGGGGAAGTGGGAGAAGAATGGGAAGGAAGGGAGATGGGAATAAGGAGAAGAAGAAGATAAGTGGGCATGAGAAAAGGGAAAGAGTAAATAAGGGGAAACAAGTGGGAGATGATTGCATAGTGGGAAGGGAACGAGGAATGTGTGAGGGGGAGATGGCATATATGGGAAGGGAGAGATCGTGTGGGAGAGAAGGCATGTGAGAAGAGAGGTCAAATATTAGGGGAGAGGGAAAGGGGAGAGGTTTTCCCTTTTCCCAGATGGAAGGGGAAAAGGCCAATGGAAGGGGACAAACTCACGTGAGTGAGAAATGAGATTATACTATGCTGCGATTTAGGCCTACCTTGCCATGATTTCATGACTCAGCGTCCCCGCGGCCCGGTCCTCGACCAGGCCTCCCAATTGGGCAAATACTGGAACCGGTTATAGGTTATTAAATGATACATGAGTGTAAATTATATTCTTTTTCCGTGTCCTAAGCCTTCGTTTTATGATTACCAACAACCACACCTGAATTTACCTTCTAACAAACGCGTGTTTGCGCAGCTAGCAGACGTCTCTGCTTGCCTACACTAGCAGTCGTCTGCTTGAACTGACAGCAGGCAGTGTGTGTTTACACGACAGAAAACGTGCCTCTGCCAGTTGGCCAGGGGAGACTGAGCCAACGCCGAACTTGTGCCATTATATTAGCGAGAAGCGCGTGAGAGGGAAGCCTCGCCAACTTCACTTAATCATAAAGTTAATCTAAACTGACTCCTGTATTTGCGGAATGAGCGCGGGTGAGACGGTGTGTTTGTCCGACAAACATAGTCAGCAGCGAGGGTAGTTTGAAGCTGTTTGTCCTCAACTGGGTACCTTCATTACATATTATATATATATATATATATATATATATATATATATATATATATATATATATATATATATATATATATATATATATATATATATATTTTATTTATACAGACAGCTATTGAGGAAGCGCTTCCCTTCTCTCTCTCTCTCTCTCTCTTTCTTTCTCTCTCTCTCTTTCTCTTTCTTTAAATTGTTTGTTGCCACCTTTTTTGTTTTGTTTACATGGACCTTCATGTTTGCTTGCCGAGTGCAATGCTGTTTGCGCATCTTGCGTCCACCTGTTGGCTCGCAATTACAATTTTTGTTTAAAGGTGTGTTTGCTAAGTGGTGTGTGTAAGGGAGGGGGGGGGGGGACGCTGAGTGACCGGCTACACGGGACTGTCGGGTATCGGGTCGAATCACTGGATTGCGTCGGGTCGTGTCAGAGTCGGGTCGAAGTCGGGTCAGGCCGGAGCGTTGTATCATGTCAAGTATCATCAATGTGTGAAGGGATCGCCACTGGAGTCGAGGGGACAGTGGCGTATCGGATCGGGTCGGGTCGAGTTGGATCCCCCTTTTTCGGGTACGGAGTTAGGGTGGAGGTGGTTGGAGTGAAGAGTCATTAAATAGAGTGCCAGCGCCACACCAACGGGGTGCCAAGGAGGTGAATAGAGCCACCCTTATTCACCCTCACTATAACCACTCCATTTTTTTAGCATTTTCCCCGCCAGCAGCAAATATTTTTTTTTTTAATAAACGAATGACACTCCCTCAGAAACCAAGAGTTCACCGCTGATGTCCTACAAACAATAAGCATCGCAGTTACAAATATTACAAAATAAATGAAAATTTTCCTTTAATACACAAAATATATTTTGTCAAAAGAACGATATTAAGTGTTCACGAAGATATCCCTAATAACATGATGTGTCTCTATGAAAAGAAAGCTTTGTAGCAGGATAGCAGCGCGATCGAACCGCTATATAGGATATCATGGTTCAATGGTTATTGCACGTGTCTGCGACTACCAATCACGCTGGTTCTATCACCCGCCACCTCCCCCCCCCAACCTCTATCACAATACGAAATGTGACTTGTTAAAATATCTTTGCCAAAATGACCATACAATAGTCAACGTGTTAAAATTATCCCTAAATAACTCTTACAGAACAAATAGTTACTATAAACAGAATCCCTTTTACAGATATAAATCTAACTTCATCATACGCAGAGTCAATATGATTTAATACATAATTTGCGCCTCAATTAACATGAGGAATGCTGACAGTAATTAGAAATTTCTTTATTATATCAGAATTGATCAAAAAGGTATTCCATCTGCTAACCACAATCGCCAAATGCTGCAGTTCGGCAGTAATCAAACGAAAGCGGCCAACAGCGCCAATCAGAGTACATGTAGCCACCAGCGCCAATCAGAGTACATATAGCCACCAGTGCCAATTAGAATACATAGCCACCAGAGCCAATCAGAGTAGATAGCCACCAGCATCAGTCAGATAACTTGCTCACCAGCACCAATCAGATAACTGACTCACCAACACCAATCACACAGCCTGGACACATTAGTCAGTGCTCACGGTGAAAAGTGTCGATGATATCCGCAACATCTGCTTAGTCTTGAGCCTGGTAGCCCTATATATAAATATCATTTGCATAATTCTTCGTCGTACTTATTTTCTTTACCTTTATTTCCTGCTTCATTTGTTTTAAATTGCTCATAAATCATACTATTTTTAAATTTATTATCAGTTAATATTTAGCAAACACTATACTACATAAACTATATAAAACATTTAACACTGCAAGAACATATGTTTAACATACACTAGATTGCATTGATAAATGTTTACCATGCATTACATTACATTAAAGACATGATTTAGCATTAAACTACACTGCTTTAAGTAATGTTTAAAACACCCTACATACACAACACATGCACTAAACTGAAATTAGTCATATTTTAAACACGTATACTGTACACCTCACTGTATTAATTCACAAATAACATACACTCAAAGGCATTAAAAAGTCATTTTATTGTGCACTACACTGCACTTTAAGTAAGGTTTCCTATGCATTCATTACCTTAAGTCATGTTTAAACATATACTACACTGCATTAACTAGCGTTAAACAAACACTACACTGAATCAGCAAGAGCCATGAGGAGAAGTTGAACCTTTGCTCTGGCTACTGACTTTCTCACTGATGCATCACGTTAATAGGATTTCTTCTTTGTGCATTGAATAAAGTCATGTTTAACACATTCACATCACTGAGTTAATGTTTAACGTACACTTTAATACAATAAGTAATGTTTATAATGCACTTTACTGAATTGGAAGGTATTTAAGATGCCCAACACTGCATGGAATCTAAGGTTTGTATATTTACTCCTCTATAGCAAAATATCTTACAAACTTATGTATATAATTGGAAATCTCTTGATCTGTTTGTTAAAAACCAGAGAAAATAAACACAGACGAATGAAGTTTATATAGGCTCGGTATATTATGTTTGTTGAATTTATCTATATCTATAAGCGTCTCTTTGTCTGCCTATCTGCCTGTCTGTCTACCCCATGCTTGGAGCTAGCCTCACCCAACTTTGCAGGGGGAATGGTCTGGTGTACTGGACGGACATAGGCTGGTCAGGGAGTTATCAAAATTCGCGATGTAACCGCGTGCCAGGGTTACATTCTGACTGCCATGACGATTTCTGCCACTGCCCCCCGGCTACACCTAGCTAAATATTTTGGGAAAAGAAACATTTCAAAACAGCTTTTTTTCCCCTTGTAGTAACATGCACCATCATTCACTGAGTCTGGGGGAAAAAAAATTCTGCTATTCACAATTTTGCCGTAATAGCATGAAATAAGCGAGCCTCCCAAACCTTCCGGAGCTTGCTCAAGACCCGCCCCCATTCACAAATTACAGAGGTAAATATTATATTTTTCAAATATGTCACACCTGTTGACCACCCAAATATCAGTAGTTGAATATTATATTTTATTTATGAAAGAGTGCAATAGAGATAGAGATAGAGATTGCGAAAAGACAGGACGAGACAGTCAAAATGAGAAAGACAGACAGAAATAAAGTCAGAAAGAGAGAGAGAAACAGAGATAGGTCTGCAGAGAGAAGGCGGGTTGACAAGAGCAAAGAGAGAGAGACAGAAACATAGATAGAAAAACAAGGAGAAACAACAACACAAAGAGACAGACAGACGCAGACACAGATATAAGGACAGAAAGAAAGGAGGAGGCGGAAGAGGGGGAATGTTTATAGAGAGGGAAGGAGAATGGAAGATATTGCGAGAGAAGGGAAAGAGCGAGGAGGAGGAGAGGGGAGAGGATTAGAGAACAGGAGAGTGGCGGAAAGTTTATATATATATATATATATATATATATATATATATATATATATATATATATATATATATATTAATTTTATTTAAACTTTGTTACCAAAAAAGAAGTTACATATAGGGTACAATGATGATTATCATAAGTTGTCGAGTTTTACAACTTTTGCAGGTCAGAGCTCGATCCCCGACAGTACCAATGAATATCATGTGATTACCCACGATATTTTGGAATACAGTTAATATGACATAGATTAAGTGCCAATTACCAGCAGTTAATGACGTGATAGTTATGCAACAGTGAGACATTAATCATTCTACTGATTAACAACTCGTTTATTCCCTGTAGGTACTCCCAAACCATACGCACGCACGCACACACACACACACACACACACACACACACACACACACACACACACACAAAGATACACTACGGGAACTAAATCTCACGTCACTGGAGGACAGGAGAGTTAGGAGTGACATGATCACCCCATAAAAGATTCTCAATGGAATTAATAGGGTAGATAAAGACAGACTATTTAACTCAATTTAAGTATTTAACTATTTAACTGCTCACGCACCAGGGGACACAGGTGGAAATTAAGTGCCCAAATGAACCATATGG